ATGGTATATTTAGTTGAGAGCACTTGAAATGCCTTGAGAAATTATCTGCTGATTTTGATTTTGGATCGTTCTTAAGTCTCTACTTTCTATGAAGTGGTTGAATAGCAATATTCATATTATCGATTTCTTGGTAGTTGTTAAGCAGCTTGGTAGCGAGTATTTAATTTTGATTTCTTTCCTCTTTTCTTTTAAGATAAATGTATATGAGTTTGGTGCATATTCTTTTTCTCTTGTTTAATCTTCTCTGCTTTTCTCTGGTAGTCATATAAAAAAGTTAAAAATTTTGTGATTGTAATTTCAAATATCAGGGTATTCCTGAGCAAGCTGAAGCTCCACCTGTGGCTCGGGCTCCTGTTAGTGGGCAAGCTGCAAATCCGGCTCAGCCTGCACAACCAGCACCTGTTACTTCGAGTGGGCCCAATGCGAATCCTTTAGACCTCTTCCCCCAGGTAGTTCTTACTCCATAACTAGTTGATCGTTTATGTGTGACTGAAGCAGAAAATGGTAATATGTAATATGAGAGCTTGGATAACATGAGTGTTGTGTAATTGACTCAAACTATGCATTAACAGGGGAGTTCCAAGCATGGGTTCAAGGGCTGCTGCTGGGTGCAGCTGGTGCAAACACTCTTGATTTTCTTTCATAATAGTCCACAGGTCTCTCTCTCTCTCTCTATAATATATATATCTATCTATCTATCTATATATATATATATCTATCTATCTATCTATCTAGCTAGCTAGCTATATATATATCTATCTATCTATCTAGCTAGCTAGCTATATATATATCTATCTATCTGGCTATTTATCTATCAATCAATCTCTCTCTCTTCCTCTTTCCCTCTCCAGCCACCTGATGTCACTTGTTTTGACGTTGTAACTTCATTTGGTTCTGTGTTTCAGTTCCAAGCTTTCCGAGCCATGGTGCAGGCAAATCCCCAAATATTGCAGGTTTTTCCTATTTTCGAATGCCTTTTGAAGAACATATTTTGTTACCAGTTGCATATTAATTTTATTCTTCTACAGCCAATGCTTCAAGAGTTAGGTAAACAAAACCCTAACCTGATGAGGCTTATCCAAGAGCATCAGGCTGACTTCCTTCGTCTCATTAATGAACCTGTTGAAGGTGGAGAGGGGTGAGTCATTATCATGTATTTTTTTTTTTTAATTCTCGCACTTAGTTTGCATTTTAATATGCTCATTTATTATTTCTTCTATGATAGGAATATATTGGGACAGCTTGCAGCAGCAATGCCACAGTCAATTACTGTCACACCTGAAGAACGTGAAGCAATAGGACGCGTAAGTTCTATGTCATTGTGCATGAAATCCAAACTTGGAGTTTATTGTGAAGATTGTGGGGTTTTCTGATCATTATTATTTTCATTGGTCACATAATAATCTGGAAATTTTAACAACATATGTTTTTTGATGGAGTAAATCTCCCAGTAAGGCAAAGAAGGATCTCGAGTTTTCAAATTTTATGGAGGGAAATGAAATCCAGCTCACAATCAAACCCTAGTTGACTTTCTGGGAATGTTTTGGATGATTGTTGACAGTTTTGTTTTTTCTTAAAAAAAATTTAATTGGTTCCTTTTGTTTTCCATGGAAAATTGCTCTTCCTTTTGTCAGCTTGAAGCAATGGGTTTTGATCGAGAAATTGTATTGGAGGTGTTCTTTGCATGCAACAAGAACGAGGAGCTGGCTGCTAACTACCTTTTAGATCACAGCCACGAATTTGAGGATTAATTTGTTCAGAGAACTGTGGAAAGATGGACAAAAGAGTACCTTTTTTTTTTTTTTTTTTTTTTTTTTTTTTTTTTCTTTTTTTCTTTTTTTCTTTCTTGGTCTTTTGATCGTTTAAATTTAATGCGTCTGGTGTTTATGATGTTGTGGAGTGTCTGGAGTTGGCAAGGAATGTGAAGAATATGTAAACTTTTCTTTGGTTAGTTTTTTGTCCTTGTTAAGATCCATTATAAAATTGGATGCTGCATAGTTTCTCTCTGTTTTCATCGTTTTGTGTATGCTTCTTACTATTGCTTTAAGCTTTTAGCTGTATATAGAATCATCATTTAGCTGCATGTTATTGCTTTGTCTTGAATTTTTCTCTGTTTCCCAGGGTCGAAGGGAAATTTTGGAGTGAATTGTAAAGTACCAATCGGAAGGATATGTTGATTCCAACAATATATATATATATATATATATTTTTTAAAAAAAAAAAAACAATTATTGATGAATAAAAACTCTAAATAAAATAAATTTGCAAAATTTCCAACAAAAGAGTCAATACTAACGCAAACACTGTTTGAGTGACACCTCTATCTCATGAGACGGTGTATGTCCTTTTTAATTTGGTGTTGTTTACTTAAATTGCTCGGGTATCGTTTCATGTTCGTATTGGAATTTATTCTTGTCCTGGTTGAGTACTTTTAGTCAAAAGATTTAGATTGTTAGTGATAGTAAGTCAATCATATCATTATACACGAATTGGTTCAAAGATAATTTATAATGATGTAGATCACGGAGCTTTTGTAGTAAATTGTTTTGAAATAGTAATATCGTATTATGTACTGCCAAAAGTAAATGTAGTGAGGTTACAGTATTTTATTACATTAATTTTAAACATAATTAATAATTATTCTGTCTTTAGATTTTTAAAACTAAAATATTTTACGCAAGGATTTATTCGTAACAACAATGTAAGATTATATTTTCTTTTTACTTAATTTGCAAGACAAGTAATTCTTTAATAGCAAAATACTCTAATTATTTTTATATATTCAACAATTTTTTTTTTTTTAAAAAAAAAAAGAGGAAAAAATGACTGTGGTGGGCGTAAAGAAGAGTATGTCATCAACGAGGTAGGGTGTGCAAGAATATGTTAAATGGAAGGTGGGGAGAGAAGATAGAGTCCTGATTTGGCATGATGATTGGACTAGATCCATGCCATGGCACAAGTGAAGAATATGTCTGTGGAGAAGGCTTATGGGGGAGGCAACAGTAAAAGAGAGTGGTTCATGATGTGGCGAGGAACCTCAATGACTAGAAGGTTGAAGAATATGAAGCTTTACTCCAACATCTGACCACTAAATGATAAGAGTGATTAACTTATTGGGAACTTGAAGAAAAGTAGGGTTTTCATAGTGAAATCATTTTATGCACTTTGTTAGTAAATATTGTGGAGGGAGGGAGGGACGAGATTCCTACTCAATCAGATTTGGAATGTGAGTGCCCCTCCTAGAATCACTTCCTTCGCTTGGGAGGAATGTATTTTGACTGCACACGGGTTGATGAGAAGGGGGGAGGACCATGGTGAACAGGTTTTATCTTTGCGAGTGTGCTGCCGAGTCATGCAACCAGATCTTTCTCTAGTGTCTACTGACATAATTTTTGGACCATGGTTTATAATTCGTTAGGGAATAACACAGTTATTGTAGGGTGGGTGAGAGATAGATTTGTAAAGATTAAAAATTTATAAAAAAAAAAAAAACTTATTATGTTGACTATTTTTTCAAGTGATTTAAAAAAAAAAATGATCAATAAAATTTTTGAGATTATTGAAAAGACGTTATATTAAATTAGTGATATATGGTTTCGTTATTTTTGGTTTTTTGATTTTGGACCATGACTTGTATTAATACGCTAACAGATTTGTATATATATATATATATATATATATATTGTATATGGATGACACCTCATGGTGACGTTAATTTAATATACATCTTATACTTTTTTTATAAAAAAAAAAATGTATTCAAACAATCAACAAACTTTGACCATACAAACTGCTGAAATTGTCAGGGTCCCTGCAACACCCTCTCTCACTCTTCTACAATTCTAAACTCGTTCGATTGTAAATATTTTGAGTTTGATTTAAACTGTAAAATAATTCATTCCAAACGTTCTCTAAAAGATCTTTTCATTAGGTGACATCCAACAAGGGTGGTTTCAGTCAAAGTGTCATTATTATGGCATGGGACCTCTTTTCCATGAAAGGATATAAATTTAGTTGAAGAATGAGATAATGATATGCTAAGAACAGAGTTGAGTCTACGTGAGTTACCATCTCAAATATGAACTGCACCAGATCATATCCTCCACATGCAGGCAGGCCCAACATCCATGAAAGTTGAGCAGGTCAAATTTTGGAGGCAAACCATCCCATCGCAATCAACTTGGAATATTGAGTAGCATAGTGGGGAGCCAGCTAAATTTCTAAATTTTTTCAACAAAAATTTACATATTTTATTTTTTTTTAAAAAAAAATTAGTACTTATATCCCAGTATATGCATAATACACAAAGCAAAACGTGTATTGATTAATTAATGTTGTCTGTCTTACTTCCTTGTGCCGACCTTTTTCAGCTTCTCCTTGTCGTTTTATTACGTTTATCGGAAACGGTATTTTTTGAACATACGTTTTTTGTAAGGGGAGCCTTGATTTCGTGGGTCTTCTGCAATTCACCGTCTGAGCTTCGTAACAATACTAAAAAGATATATACATTAATTAATATAAGTCTACGATTATATTCTGTGTCTTTCATGATTTGATTAGTAAATATCTTCCACGTCCAACAACAAAAATATGTGATCGAAATGTATAAAATGATTAAATAAATAAAATTGATTAGTAAATTTCTTTAATCTTTTTAAATTTTTTTTGTGTGCTTTTTATTTGCATATTTATCTTTTGAAAATAATTTTTTGGGTTTCTTAAATATTACTTCATCTATAACTTTTGAGAGACTATTTGAAGAAATTTTATTTTTTTTTAGTTTTCAACTCTTACACATTGTTTTATACACAACTTTAAAGTTTTTGAAGAATCTTTTGAAAAGAGCCAAAAAAAAATTTAAATTTAATTGAGTTATCAGTAAATTTTAAATTATAATATCATTTTTTAAAAAAGAAAATATGCAAATTTCACATTATTTTCTTGTGAGTATTATAAGAAATAAATAGATATCTCTATTGTGAGTCAAGTGTTACGAAAAAGAATTAAAAGATAAGTTTGACAACTAAAATATTTGTATTCAGAATAATACTTATAAAATGTGAAGCTGATATCTTGATATACAAGTTTTTGGACTCGGGTGACGCAGGTGTGAAAGGTGAACTCGGCATTTTGAATACAAACATCTTTTGTTCGAGAAAACATTTGTGATAGATAAAATTTAACATTTTATTAACAAGCATCTTGTAAAAAATTATAGAAAGTCATTCATGTCTTATTCACAATTAATTTTGAATGAATAAAAAAATTAAATTTTTGTTGACTTTCTCATTCTATACTTAATAACTTAAAAGTGTTTTTAAATAAACTTACATTGAATTTAAATTTTTTAAAAATAATTTATTATAATTTAAAAAATAAATTTTAATTAAATCTTTTAAAAAATAAATTCTCACTAATAACATAATATTTATTTATAAAATTAATAAAAAATAAATTGTATTTGAATTTAAATTAATACATTAAAAAAAATTATAATTTTTACATTAATTTTTAATAAAAAAAATTAAATTGAGTATTTCTGTGAAAATTATAAAAAGATAAAATTTCTCTTACGGATTATTACCATAAGTAATACTGTAGAATGGATATTATGTAACGGCCCCGGAAATTTTAACATGAAATATGTATATTAAAAAGGTCAAATGCGGAAGCGTAATAAAAATTTGATTTAACATCTCTTACACTAAAACCAAAAACGTGCTCAAAGTATAAAAGAACAAACTAACTAAAAGAAAAACTCGAAAATAAAAGCTATAAATATGACTACGGAGTCTTCAGGCGTCCCCTTCGCCGTCTTCCTGCGGAACGGGCTCAGGAACAATGTCTTCCTGATCTGAAATGATTAAATAAGAATGAGCTACACCAGCCCAGTAAAGACATCACACTATCTCACCGTCACGGAAGTAAAAGTGGGTAGAAAACACAAAAGGACCAATGGAGCATAGTTTACAACAAACTCATTTATTAACATAAAAACCTTTGCTATCCACTTATCTCGGTGAAATTCATAAAACAATATACGAAAACAATAACATTATCATCATCACGAAATCATAGAAACTGTATAACATAATACTTATCATGTTTTTTGCATCTCAATCATTACACAACATATTTTTCCTTATTTACCAGCCTACTAGTATCCATGGGGATCCATAGGGATCCCGTTACCCGTGAACCTTTAACACTTGTAATCAGATTCCAGGGCCGTCCCCATACCCCGTTCGGTATGGGCGCCAAAACTATAAACCTCAATACCCCATCCGGTATGAGGGTGAAACGGGCCGTCCCCATACCCCATCCGGTATGGGCGCCAAAACACATAAGGTCTCCATACCCCGTCCGGTATGAGAGACCACAATCCCGGTAGGGTTCCCTACGGACCCGGTCCGTCCACCATCTCCTAGGATATCTAGTCAGGCTGACTACATTATACAATTATCAATTTACATAACTTTTCATTCCCCTTTTCCTCAGTCAGCATCATCAAATCACACACAAACAAGCAACCAGTAATTCATGCCAAACAAGCCAACATACAACATCGGGTTCTTAGTCATTCAACCCATAATCAATAAAACAGTGATTTATGCACACGAAACTATGAAATGAGAACATCAGACATCATACTGCATTTAAAACTGTAAAATAGAACAAACAACAACTGACCGACAAATACACCAGACTCGGGCTCCATTAGCGACCTTAAACAATTTCACACATCTACTAATTTATGAAACACCGTTTTATCATTTATTGAACTTTAATACCGTGATAGGAAATAGGGTGAGGGGTCCTTACTCGTTTCGGGGTCCGAACACGACTCCACAATGCGCCTACAGGCTGTCCCTAATTTTCCCTGAATTTTTCCTGGGGAACTGAAACGCACTATTGGTACCTGCACTTGTCCCAAAAAATCCCAAATTAGACCCAGGCCCCTTTCGGCCAATATCGCAATTCCAGCACGGCCGTGCTCCGGCCGAATTCGGCCAC